AGGTGAGAGGCCTTCCAACACCTTGTGCCTACCACCAAGAATCCACACGAAAACATTTTTATATATTTTTTTAAATTTGGGTTAAAAACTGCAATTTATTTTCTTATTTTTTTTTTTAATATTTACCAAAATTCCTTAAGGGCGAGTTTTTTCCGCAACCCAAAATTATGGTCATAATTTCAAAATTCTGAAACCAGAGATTCCATAATGCGGGAGATGGCTGTACTGTATATGAGAGTTTGCTTACACTGTATATGTTTATATTTCCTGTTTATATAACCAGATTATGTCTCCTATCACCATGACTGGTTCACAAAAACAGATAAAAATAAAAAACACAAAAAAAACAATAATAATAAAATAAAACTAAAAAACACAAATTAGAAAAAATGATCATAAGAACAGAACAAAACAACGTCAGACTCCTCTCCCTACCGCTCAGTGCCGACGAGAGAAATGATTTAATTTTAACGAACAATTGAGAAAAGTTTAACACACTCGGCGGATGAGGCAAATATAATTCAAGTTACTGAGAAAAATGTGGAAGGACTTCGAGAATTCTTTGGGTTAACCTGAGAAGGAGATAGTTGGTCTGGGGAAATTTAATTTCTCTCTCTGTCTCTTTTATGGTAGTAGGCAGCTACCAAACAGGGAGGTACTACCGCCTGGGAAGATATTGGAAGTATAATGTGGTGTCTTATGGTAGACCCTGCTGCCATATGTGACCAAGTCCCAGGTTGCTGATCTGACTTTCTGCCTCATTTACACACAATTGCAGGGTCTCATTTGTTTCTCTTACTATTGACAACACAACATACTGTACATATATTGTTTCTCACTATTGATCTTTTTTTTTTCTTTATGGTTCTTTATTATTATTATTATTATTATTATTAGAGTTGTTTTTATTATTATTAATTAGCATTATTATTTTATTTTCAATTTTGTATTTCTTATTATAAATTTTATTTCCTATGAATTATTATTATTATTATTACATTTTCGCCCCCCAGTCCCTGATGTGGGTCAGTGACCTGTGCCTGGGTGGGCTAATCCCCATAAAAAACAAAACAAAATAAAATAAAATCTCTCTCCCCTCTCTCTCTCTCTTTCTCCTAATCTTGTTTCTCTATCACAACTTTTCTCTCTCTCTCTTAACTTGTGTCGGGGTCGGGAAATGAGAAAAAAATTACCCTCTTCTTCCATTTTACCACCCGTGTTTCCTTTTTTCTTAAGTGGTAACTACCTTTTTCTAAACGTGTATTTTTTTGTTCCAAACTGGATTAGTTCTACAAACAAGCCTCCTTGGTTATTAGTAAAACTCGTTAGGGTTAAAAACATAAAATTTGGACCTGGGTAATTTTTTTATTTGATTTTACTGTATATACCAAGAAATGAATACCTCATATACATCAAACACCACATTTTCTTTTAATTTTTAAGGAGAAAATATATTTTTTTTCATTTCTTTACATATTCTTCAAGTGAATAATGCAATGTGATCTTTTTTTTTTTTTACTATATTTCACGATGTTTCAAGGGTTTATTCTCTTGTGATCATCTTTTGTTCTGGGCATCATTTCATTTTATGTACAGAGGTAAAATGAACTTATCCTCAACTTATTCTGTTCTTTCACTTCCTGGGGTTAAGTTGACCAGTTGTAACTCCCTGGGGTAGTCTGGCTTCCGAGAATCTTAATTTAAAGGCAAAGTTGTAGGATAAACTCTATGTGTTTCTCTCTTTCTCTTTAACCTTCCTCTCTCTCTCTCTCTCTCTTCCTCTGTAACTCCTCCCTCTTTCTTTGTCATTTTCTTTTAACCCCCCTCCCCCTCTCTCTCTGTGTGTAACCCCATCTCGGTCTCTTTCTTTAATACCTTCTCCCTCTCTCTCTTCAACACCATTTTCCTCTCTTTCTCTTTAATCGACTCTTCTTGTTTTCTCTCTTTAACCCCATTTCCCTCTGTTTCTCTTTAATACTACTCTCTCTCCCTATCCCTCTTTCTTTCTTTAACCACCTTTCTCTTGTTGATTCTCTTTAATCCCTCCTCCCCCTCTCTCTACCACTCTTTTCAACCCCATTTCCCACTCTTTGTTTCTCTTTAATCCCCCCTCTCTCTCTCTCTCTACCCCTCTTTTCTGTCTTTAACCACCTTTCTCATTGTTTTTATTTAATCTCTCTCTCTCTCACACACTCACTAGCTCTCCTCAGGGTAACTTGAAAGTTATGACCAATACAGATGTTCTAAGTCTACCAGGCATTCTTAAAATAAACTCAAGAGAAGAAACACAAATTGTAACCTAAGGAACCAACACTAAAAAAAGACACTGAAGATATGTGGAAATATATGGTACATCACAAGACTACATCACAGACCTTAAACTTTTAACCTTTCGTCCCTAAACTCAGTAAATTTCTAACTATGTCTCGGGGGTAACGAAACACTCAGTAAAGTTAAGGTATTTTTTAACATCTCTGAGGGTAACTTGGTCTTCAGTATAGTTTCTGAACATTCCTAAATGTAACTAACTTCTCACTAGAGTTAATGCAGTGTGTGTGTAAAACAAGTACAATATAGACATACATTCTGACAAACACGAAGACAGGCATCACCAAACAACAAACAAATGGAACTTACAAATAAATCCCAGGATGATCTCCACTTAATCTTCACAGAGAAAGATTTAACATTGTGTAAATTATCTTAATCATTTTTATTTTCCATTGTCAGAAATCCTCACCTATTTCACATCCAGATCTTACTAAAACTAATAAAGTTGATTGGTTGTTGAGTTCTCCTGACTCGAGCTAAAGCACTGGTCAAATTTTATCCACCCACTTCTTTTCCTACTCATATTAATTATTTGACCATAGGTGGGTTGGGTTGGTGTTATGTCACTGTACCCATGGAATCAAGTCACTGTACTCAAGGTGTTTAAAACATCGTACTTAATGGGCTAATTTTCTGTACTTAAAAGCTTGTTAATGTACTCAAGAGGTTATAAATGAAGCTTAAAACATCTTTAAAAAAATAAATATATGAAAGTAAAATAGAAAAAAAATAAAGAAATCAAATGTTAACATCCAAGTATACATATAAAAACAAAGGAAGATTATCAAAACAAAAATAGGTGTATCTCAATTAGCACGAACAGGTACTGTAAATGGACACACCTCAAACATCATCCAATTTTCGAAGGTAATCAAACTCATATGCTAACTAATCAAATTTGTGAGACAGATTGATAATAAAAATAAATAAAATCTATTGAATTACAGTTGTGGAAGTTGTGGTTTAAAATATCTAACCTGACTATCAGTAATGATTTGGGGGCTATTAGAATTGGGGCCATTAGAACTGGGGCTTGTATTTAGGGCCATTTGGTTTAGGGGCCATTAAATTGGGTTTCAATTTGGGGGAGTATCAAATTAGGGATTTAAATTTGAGGCCCTTGGGAGTATGCCCAAAATTGGGACCTATTTTGGATAGAGTACAGTAAAGCCTCGAATAACGACGGTAATGTGTCCTCCAATATTGCAGTGTATGGTGACTCGCCGTATTGTGATTCATTAATTACCATTAAAGTAAAGCAATAATAATGAGATGCGTTCCAAAGTGTGACCTTTTCATATCTTTTGTGTGGCTTTTTACTCTCTTTTCCTGAAAAACAATAAAATTAATGAAAAATGCAAACTACAGTATATTCTTTAAATATGTTTTTGAATGCACCTTATACAATATAAATGAATAATAATATGGTCACACAAGAGGAGACGGGATGCTATTGTTGTCAGTGTTTACACCCATAATGTAAGTTATACATCTGAAACTGAAGAAATCAAGACCCTGGTTGTAGCTATAGTAAAATTAATGTAAAGAAATGAATATGTATGTTTTAAGTAATGTTAATTAATGTTAATAAATGGAACAACAGAAGTAGCTAACCATCAATGGTAAAGAAAAAGCAAGACGGATTGGGAACGCCAACGCATGTAAGTGCGCACGTGAAAACTTAACGTCATTTCTCTACATAAGAATATGAAAGCAACACTTATTTATGTTCATTTAGGTTTTAAATAATACTTACGAATGTAAAACAAAAATTCTACTCACCAATGATGGTAAAGTGCAAAATATAACGACAGCCAATGAATATTGTGCGAGTTTTTACTCGGATGATTTATATGAAAATGTAATTTTATTTCTTATTCTATTTTCGCTGTAAATATGAAGAAAATAATGGTGTAAATTGATTTGGGTCCTAAATTAACCAGGGTCTTAAATATGAATCGTCGTTATGGGAGGCTTTCCTGTAATCAATTTATGAGGGCTTGTCCTATTCACTTTTAAAACACCAGCAAATAATGCCTTCTTATTGGTCAAGTGCCTAATTGATATCTGGTAGTTGAGGAGTTCGACCTAATGACCTAATTACTGTACTGGCACTGGGATTAAAGATAACTACAGCAATAAGCAAGAGAAGTTAAAGAACATGTAGTCATCCTAGAGCAAATAACTGTGATTGATTGATTGAGATTAAATGAACAGATTCTATCCTCAAAAGGCAAAAATTAAGATGAAGAAAATTGTGTGGAAGTCTTTAGTTTTAGACAATCACAATGATGATTTCTGATAAAATTGAATTAAAAAAGTGTATGTATAAAAGAGAGTTAAGTAGTACCTGTATAGAGTGCGGGTTTGTATGTATATTTTAGTGTGAAGGAGTGTATGTATAGTGTGAGTGTATGTATACAGTCAAGTAAAACAAGTCATACGTATCTCATCAAACTTAAATGTATCTTATGCTGTATATATGAATTAATTTTTTACTTAACCCTTAGAAGAAAAATTTCATAAAGTTAACTGTTTGGAAATAACAGAGAAAATTCAAGATTACTTTCAAAACAACAACTGATTTTTTATGTTGTTGTTAAAGTAATGATTAAAAAAACACTTATATGTATACAGAACTTAAACTTGGTAAAAAAAAAAACTATAAGTCATAATAACTTAACATTATATTTCTCCCATCTGTACAATATTTTACATAGTGTGGAATTCAATAAGCATTATGACAATACTTAAAATTTTTTGGCTAATTTGTTTTGTCTTGTTTTGTCATTAATAACAGAATATCTTATCTATTTTTTCTTTCAATTCCTTTTCTAACATTGTTTATCAAGTAGCAAAGATGTCTCGCCGGATAAACAAAGTGCAAGACCTAACATGGTGCGGTACATCATTTAGGTTCCGACTCTCGTTTTGGTGACTATGAATTGATCTCCCATGTCCGCATTGAAGCCCTCCGCGTACTTCATCCCGGGCGCCTGTTGGGGAGTGGGGGAGGGAAAACGTCAGATGTAAACAAGTAATTATCTAAATCAGAACCTGTAATGTACACGAGGAAATCAATTTAAAATAATTTCATCTTTGGGTGTTAGGTTCGAATAGGTGCCACCGTGGTTGACAGTCGACCAGCTTAACCACTGCGCCGTGATGGGCTTAAAAGCTACCTCAACTTAATGACTAACTTGAGGCTCGAGGTTCCCTGCTCATCTTGGTCCAGTGGAATAAACTACCTGACTGCCAACCATGGTAGCCCTGATTCGAACCAACCACCCAAAGGTGAATTTTTTTTAACAAGTTATTTCTATTTACAATTCTCTATTATGTCATATGTAAACACTATTATCCATACACCTGTCTACACCCCTGAATGCTTCCAAAAGATACAAATTAAATGCAAACAAAAGGTAAGACTGTCTATTGAATATATTTACTCCTCCTGTCTCTCACTTTAGTGTGGGGTTGGGTGAAGAGAGTCGGAAAACCCCAAGAGATGGAGGCAGCTGATGTGAAGTATGGTGTAATATGAGAGTAGTGAAGTGTATCCTCTATCTGTCTGTCTTTTTTTGTTTTTAATGGGAATTAGCCCACCCAGGGACAGGTCACCGGCCCACATTGGAGACAGGGGGAAGGGGAGAGGGGGGGGGCAAAAGTAATAATAAATTGCACCATAAATAAATAAATACATAAATGGCAAAAATTAAAATGGATCAAAAGTGAGAAACAATATATATGTTGTGTTGTTAAAGTAAGAGAAACAAATGAGACCCTGCAATTGTGTGTAAATGAGGCAGAAAGTCAGATCATCAACCTGGGACTTGGTCACATATGGCAGCAGGGTCTACCATTAGACAACACATTATGCTTCCAATATCTTCCCAGGCGGTAGTACCTCCCTGTTTGATAGCTGCCTACTCCCTACCTACTACTATATTATCTAACTGGCTTCCTTATCTTACGTTTTGCCAAGAATGCAACAAATTATAAAGTAAAATAATTACCTCATAAGCATACTTCAGAGTAAAATTAAAACATTCATCCTTGAAAATTTAAAATTCATCATTGAGTCCTTTACATGTGGCGCTTCCCTAATACTGTTACTACTTCAATAAGAAAATTCATATCAAAAGAACTGGAAAAAATTCTTGGGAGAGGATAACATGCCATTGCAAATTACACTTCACATTTGCATATAATTTTAGAAGCATAATGGGAAAATGTAAAGATGACATAATTCTTTTCTTTATAAGAACTTTTCCCAAAAACTTTAGGTCACAGTAAGGAAACTGTTCATGCCCTGTAAATTATCTGATCAAGACTGTTTATACAAAGTTCGGTCACTGACGTCACGTTATCAATGATCCTCAAAACGAGAGAGAGAGAGACAGAGAGAGACTCCAAGCTACTGTTGGAGAGAAGAGAAGGAAGACTAGCTAAAAAAAAAAGTATAACTAATAATTACTGTCCTCCTTTGAGATGGGTGAGAATATTATGGCTTATCTGTGAGTGACACATCCAGGCAGTCAGTCAGTGGGTTGTCTCCAAGGTTCAAGTGAAGGAATAAAGGTCAACAACTGCACTAAATAATAATCTTCTTGTTCCACGTTGCAACTACAAAATAAACTACTGTATTGTACAACCAGGCAATTGATTCACCTGTAATGAAAACTCAAACTAGATTATCCCGGGAACGTAAACACTGAACTGACCTGTCTTAAACCCAACAAGACTAACACCAAGTACTTACGTTCCACCAGACGTCTTCAAACACCTTGTGGTCTTCGGCATTGACCACCAACTCAGGCACTGAAAAGCCTGGCACGTTCATCCACATGAGGATCTTGTCTTTATTCTTTGTGAATCTATAAAAAATTAAATATATAAGATGTAATGCCATTAGACACTACACACGGTCAATCCACAAGCACACACACAAATATACACATACATAAATACATATATAATATATAATAATGGTTTCCAATCGTGTTCGAGGATGGCCGGCACAAGGGCCACCTAGACGTGAATTTGTTTAAGGTGTAGAAACTGTCGCCAGCACAACAACCACACCCCGAGTTAAAGAGCTGCAGGACCAAATGTCATGGAATCGTCCGAGAAGATTGGACAAATCGCTAACTGCACTGGCTAACCATTACCCTGGAATTGAATCCGCAAATCGATTAACACCCAGGTTCCCAATTACTGCTGGGTAGACAGAGGCAAATGGCGTAAAGAAACTTGCCCATAGTTTCACCCTGCCCAGGGATCGAACCCGGGTCAGCACGCTTGTGAGGTAAGCATGTTGACCACCCCACCCTCCCATACCTACACACACATACCTATTACTGTATCTAATTGTTAAGTTTTATAATCACTCTTAAATTACCAATAACCTCTATAGTAGTTTCAAAGTTAATCCTAAATTCCCAAATACTGTATGTGTAAACAATGGAGCTAGTGGGCGCCATACTTACAACATCCGCTGTTTGCACCAATCCCACTCGTCGGTCAGCTTCCAGTCGGCCATCTTAGGGTCATTCTTGTCAAATTCGAAGTTGAGGCGTTCAATATCCTCGACGACCACCTCACAGTCCCCCTTCTCGGACCAGTCATACACCAGCAGCTCGGAGTGACCGCTGAGAAAAAAATAAGTGAGGAATGGGACATCGATCAAGAATGTCCAGATTATGAGTATGAGCGGAAAATTCAATGGCATGCAACGTCATCTCACTGGACAGTGTGGCTTAGCAACACATGTACCTTATTCAGCTCATTCATTGAATTTGGTTGGGGAAGCTGCAGTTCAATGTTGATTATAAGCAGAGAATATACACTTATTTCTGTGAATCATTGGCTGAAGCTGAAGAACAAACTTAAGGAAAACAACTGCCTGTTCCAAAAACGTTGTCTGACACTAAAGTAGATGGTCTAACCATGCCAATGCCACAAAGGCCATTCTGTCCGGTTACGATGTCATCGCTGAGATTTTGAAAAGCATCATTGAAGATGATGCTGAAGTAGCTGTCAATAAATGCAAAGCTACTGGATTGCTAAATACACGTCCTAGCTTGAGACAGTCATATGTATTAATCAGTGGCACACCATCCTGGAACGCTACAATACAACAAACAAAAAACTCCCAAAAGAAAATGTTCAACTGAATACAGTACTGTCTTCCTGCTTCTGAAATCATTAGTCAGTTTTGTACATTCATTGAGAGATCAATTTGAAGAAGTTGAGAAAAGTGTACTGAGACTTCTGGAAATAAAGAATATTGAAGTGAGGAAAAAAGAATCCGAAAAAGAAACTCTCGTCTCCAAGGGAAATTTTTAGAAAGAAATACTTTATTCCAGTGATTGATTGTCTTTTGGTAGATCTAGAGAAACAAATTGATGCATGATCTGAGTTGAATAATAAGTTTGTATTTCCGCAGGATTTAAATGAAATCAATGAATAAAATATCAAAGTGAAATGTGAATATCTTGTATATGTGTATTCATCAGATTTGGAGAGAATCCTTGGTATAGAGTTGCTAAAATTTTGCCATATTGTTAAAATACTTTTTCCTACCAAGAAAGAAGAGGTAAATCTTTAACACTACATGTTCAAAATAAGTTGTGATCAAAGACTAGAATCCACATTTCCAAACAAAAGACATATATCTACAGATTTACTAGAGTCTTATGGTAACAAATTGTTGCGGAGAAAGATCATTTTCTAAAGTCAAATACGTGAAAAATTGTTTCTGATCAACTATGACTAAAAAAAGTAATAAAGAAGTTTTTAGTTTATATTCATTTGTTTGTCTTTTATTTATGTCCTAGTAGTTAATACACACAAAAAAATTAATTATTATAATATATTTTGATTATTAAAATATAAAATAAATATAAGTGCAGTACAATACCTAACAGAACCCCTTAGTGAAGGTTTTAATTTTTTATTTCAATTATATACAAAAGGGCCTCCACAAGTATATTTGCCCCAGGGTCACCACTTACTTTAATCTGGCCCTGAGCACGACACAACCCTTAAAAAGAATTTGCTCCACAATCCTCACTGTACTGTATGCTCCAAAATAGGAACTACTTCTTATTTCACCAGATGATTAAACCCCCTACTACTGTACTTATATTATGAGGTTATCTTAGGTTAGGTTAGCATTAAAATGTTTCATCAGAAGAAAAAAAAACAGTGGTTCCTAATCCTCACAAGATCCACCAATTCCTCTCCCAACACTTGTGTAATTTCTCCTCCACCACAAACCTCATTTCATTTAGGAACTGTTTCTTGTACACTTGTTCCATGTAGGAGAGGAATTCTCGGGTCAACACCGGAGAGTTGACCTCGTGGGGAAGATTTCTCTCCTGGATCCGCTGCAACACAACATCAACCGGCATGTCCAGGTAGACCACGAGATGAGGACGCATCAACTCCGGCACGGTCATCGCTTTGCACTCATAGTACAGGTTGCGTGCTGGGGAATACCAACAAAAGCTCAAGAAACACTGAAAAGGCGAGATATTAAATTTACGCAGACTTATCCAAGAATGCTCAAGAAATCCTTGGAGATAATTTATTTCTTAAATATTATACTATATACACACTTGTAAATTATGTATTTTATGGTCCAGCATCTCCAAACTATGCTGCACGTACCTGGTTTACTGATGTACCCAAAGTTGGCCATGGCGTCTATGAACACAAAGTCACTGTACACACTGCGGTCCATCACAACCCCCTGACCTGTCAAGTCATCACACTCACTTTATTTTAAATAATATAATATAGGAGGAATCTTTATACTGTACACTATAATAATCTACCTTACATAATGTATTTCTTTACAGGTCAGATTTACATGGACATACACCAAAATCAGATATACTCTACAAAAAAGCATTATCAGTAATATCTACATTACTTATATAAATCTACTTAATACAGAGAGTGTACGAGTATTATCTCAATCACCATCAATCCCAATTCATAATATGATAATTATTTTGTTACTGTACTGTACTCACCAGTGCTTAGTACATGAGCGAGGGCATCAATGTACTGTACCAGGCGAAGGCGGAACATGTGAAACTGGAAACCGGCAGCATTGGGATCTTTTGGATTCTGAAGAAAATTCTTCTCATCAAAGCTTTTTACTGAGTCTGGAAGTTGGCTGTCCAGTTGTCGCATGTCATAGCCATAAGGGTTGATGTACAGCATGTCCATGTTGGCATGGGGCACATACAACATGTCCAACTCATCTGCTATTTCCTGAAAATCATCAAAACTTTCAGCACTAGAAGTAAAATGTGAATAAGGTGTCTGCACAAAAAACAATTATGTAATACTAATACAGTACTGTGCTGTCCACACCAAATTAACAGTTGTTTCATAATACCATGTACAAATCTCCAAGTTTACAAGTAGTTACAAGTTGATTACCATCTGTTTCTCTAATATCAAATGAGAACTGACAATATTTATCTCCTTCAATAAACACATCATCCAAATTTACTTAAAGTATTTGCTGACATCTTAATAATTAGTTGTGTTCCTCATGTGAAGTACCCCAAGCAGGTAACTAGACTAAGTTAAAACAAACCTAATTAAATATATGTACAGTATTTAAAAGTACAGTACTGTATAGTAATTACATTTGACTTATTATTAAGGCAGATGTTTAAGATATATAAAAGCCTTTGATTTCTCTCTTTCAAAACAGAGATTAAGTTTCCCACACATCTGTATTATATAAACCACTTGTTTGACTTAAGTTTTAAGTTTTCTACACAGTCCTGTACATTCTTAAACGACTACTTGTCAATTATCTGATCATAATAAATCAATCTAAAGTAAAGTGACCACACCTTAGCAAACTCTGTCTTTCCCGCAGCAATCGGTCCATCTACAACGATGACCTTAGAGTTTTCGTCAAAGCGATGAGTCGTCTTGTCCAATAGTGCAGCAAAGAAGCCATATTTATCAGTCTTGTATGGAAATGGGGCAGGACGCTTGTAGTCCTGGTCACGTAGAGCCTTCGACACAATTGTTGCAATCTGTGGGTGAAATTTTTTTCTACGTCAAGAATCATCAGTCACCCAAGTATTGGACACATTTCTCGGCAAACACCCACAAGTGAAGCGTGTCTGAGGAACTACAGTTATTAACTTAAATATGGAATAAAAGATCAAAATTAAGCTTAACATGATAAATATAACTGTACATGAAAAGTTAAAATATTTCCTAAATAAAAAAAGTATACTGTCCTAACAACCACCCACATCAAAAGGGTCTGCATAGCTGACAGATGTTGAAATCTCTCGTTCCAGCCAAGATGGTAACCACACAGGTCTTTAATGCATGATGCCTGTGTGTCTGGCCGGAGGAGCTAAGATTGGAGAGGTACTAAATAATGATTCTCTTCATATAATTTATCATATTTGTGTGTGGAGTCAGCCTCACTATCAGTACACCTTGAAATACATTTCCACAAGCTGACATCGAACTTTTCAGAGACTGTCGGTTAAGGAAGTTTTGGACAATATTTACCTGCGGGCGGAGAACGGGTACTGGGGCGGCAACACAATGCCTGGACACTCCTCGCAGGGAGGTCATCCCCCTTCTTACCACTGACAGTGCCATCTGAAGAACAAAATCTCATTGTATTAAACCTGATTATAACTACTGGGTGTTACTATAGTGTGCAGGCTACAAAGATATCTTTAGTCTAAACTAACCTAACCTGACTTGACCTGACCTGACCTAACCTAACCTGAGCTAACCTCACCTAAATAGCTTGTCGACTGCACACTATAGCAGCACCAACTATTGTACTATAGGGTATTAATTAACAGACATACAAGAACAGCTAAGTAAAAATTGGAATAAAAGGTAATTATCATCATTATTGTTATTTTATAGGAACACTACTGACTAAAAAATGGATCAACAGTGGAAATTAAAGGTTTAAAGGAAGATCTACATTCAGGATGACAAAAAAAAAAAAAAATATTATACTTAAATTTCTCTTTATCTTATGGGGTTTTCTTCACACAAATGTGACCCCAGAAGAACACATCTTTATCAACACAGTAATTATATACGACTTTACAGCCACAATTTCACTGTTTTATAGTGGACACTGTCGTAATTATATAAAATGTGTTAAAAAGTGGTTATTTCTAAATTAGACCTAACCTAACCTTACTTGATAAGAAAAACAAATGGCAGAAGCATTGTTACAAGACCTCACCAACCTAACAAGGAAACCAACCTAACATTACCTAACTGAGGCTCCACCCTCTGGACCTCCTGACATATTAAACAGAAAGAACTTACTATTATATGGTGTAATTTTACATTTTTGTTGATGTGAGACCAATTCACTCATTAACATACACTGGCTAGCAACTGGTGTTGAATCAAACAGTCGATTGAAGATGATTGACTGTGTATCGCTGCATCACGACGAGAAAGACAAAGTATAGCATTCCAGACAAATAATGCATCGGTTGTCAAGTCCCCAATTTATTGTAGCCAACAACACTGTATATAAACTAATTATAGTACCAGTGTGTGTGTGTGTGTGTGTGTGTGTGTGTGCGTGCAGTGTGTGTGTGTGTGTGTGTGTGTGTGTGTGTGTGTGTACAGCAGATATAACAGTGTAAGTTAGAGTCGTGCCATTATCAACAATGGGTCGACTCTAGGGTGAATTATACATACAAATTCTGTAACCCTTTCGCTGCCTTTCGCGCACTTGCCATTTTATTTTGGCAACCAAGCTCCTGCAGCCCAAGGGTTAACATAGACCATTTATCAGATTACAGAGTGCAAGAGAGAACATTTGGCTAATATGGAGGACATCACAGGTTAGGTTAGGTTAGGTGATAATGATGCAGTTTACAGCAACCACAGAATTCAATACATTCAATTGATAGAATTATTTTTTGTATGATAATTTTTTTTAATATTACACTTCCATTGTAAATTAATAATAAGGAAGATATTGAATTTTAAAAAGAATAAAATCAGAGTACCTGTTGCCCCCTACGTTGTTGCTCCAATTGTGTTATCGCAAGACACTACTAAAACTACCAAGAACTCTCAGGTAAAAATACTTACATCATTTGTTAAGGTTTGTTCCTCACCACAGCCCAGTCATCTGCCGGATTTCTACTACAGCAATATGTGTGTGCTTTACGGACTCTACTGCCATGACACTCCCGTATATACTGCTCTGTGTTATACTTTATTATGTTGTTCACTCAATATTAACAAAATTAGAGAAGGAAGGGGAATATTTGTTAAAAAAAACTATCAATTGTTCTCACCGTACACCTAGCTGGTGGCCCCCTGGTACGACTGTTGGAAAAATACCACGAACAAATTCATTAAACTATCACTAAACTATTTTTGTTCTTTCTATTACTTTGCTAAAAAAAACGAACTACCCTCATTGAATATAAATTTACTATCATAAAATACTTTACATAAGTTTTTATTTGGTTGGTGTAAGTTATTTAAAAATCAAATTAATTAGTGGTTTGCCTAAAGTATTTTTTTAACATTATTTATTTTGTCAGCTGGCCCGTGTCCGTGTCTCTTTTACGACTCTGACTTTAACTATATTTAATACATCTTGACAGCACATGAGTAGTATTTTGAGGAATTAAACACCCACACAATATAAAACTAAGATAAATACATCAATATCTATAGACTTACAAGAAAATTGGGCTCTATTTAACCTGATAAAGTTAAACTGAAACCATTCTAACATATGCAAATAATGTTTTACCTATAGAGCGAGAGAAACAGTTTTTCATACCAAGGATATAAGGCCATTTAATCCCTTAAAAACCTCTACTCTACAACCTATGACCAAATCATAGGTCTTAAAGGAAGGAACAGTCACAATCTTAAAGGAAGGAACAGTCACAGTCTTAAAGGAAGGAACAGTCACAGTCTTAAAGGAAGGAACAGTCACAGTCTTAAAGGAAGGAACAGTTACAGTCTTAAAGGGAGGAACAGTCACAGTCTTAAAGGAAGGAACAGTCACAGTCTTAAAGGAAGGAACAGTCACAGTCTTAAAGGAAGGAACAGTCACAGTCTTAAAGGAAGGAACAGTTACAGTCTTAAAGGAAGGAACAGTCACAGTCTTAAAGGAAGGAACAGTCACAGTCTTAAAGGAAGGAACAGTTACAGTCTTAAAGGGAGGAACAGTCACAATCTTAAAGGAAGGAACAGTCACAGTCTTAAAGGAAGGAACAGTCACAGTCTTAAAGGAAGGAACAGTCACAGTTTTAAAGGAAGGAACAGTCACAGTCTTAAAGGAAGGAACAGTCACAGTCTTAAAGGAAGGAACAGTCACAGTCTTAAAGGAAGGAACAGTCACAGTCTTAAAGCGTGAGTTGATTTATGTGGTGAGGCAGGAGCGCAGGCTGCAACCACACATCTTGGCTCTCCCTTTTCCTGATCCAGTGGTGCAAGTGTTGCAACGACTGGGGAGAGGGAGAGTTGCAATGGACTGCCGATAGCCCAGTTTGTTGGGTTTCGCCTTAGTAGCCTGTCCATCATGCATTGCCTTCGTCCGCCGGTGTAATTGTTGAGTTCCCATGGTGGTCACCTCTTCCGCCTATACCGCCGTTGGAGTCTTGTTGGAGCTCTGTAAGCATGTCTGCCTGATGTGGGGCTCCACCGCAGGTTTTTCGTTTGGGGTTTACTCCCGTAGCCTTATAACTGCCAAGGTTAATCTGTAAGGCAGCGGGGCAATGGCTGGTAGGCGTCAGAATGTGTCCACATGCCAGTGGGCCTATGCGCCGTCCCTCTGGGGCCCACTGTTACTCCGAGATCCCCTGCTGGTCTAGCATGGGCCCACGAGGCACCCAGTGACCTAGTTACCGTATGTTGCCACGAGGAGGCACAGCAGGAGTCTTGATGGTGAAGAGGCTGTGTACTGGCAGGGGAAGACTTATGCAAGTTACTTCCCTGTTCGCCAAGAGGACTAGCCAGCGGCGGCAGCTGAAAGCGAAAAGGAGCAAGCAGTGCTTGCACCTTAACACTAACATAGTGCTGGTACACTAGACGCATTTCACCACCCTGTGTGCGACACATACACACACACATACACACACACACACACACACACACACACACTAATTGTTGACAAACTTGCTTCAGAAACCGTGAAAAATGGGGATGGATGAATAACAGTTTTGTGGCATATGAAAGAACTGTCAAAAGTCAGGGGCGGATCCAGGAATATCAAAAGGGGGGTCTAAGAAGTTGTGGGTGGGGGAACGTGGAGAGCAAACCGCCCCCACCCAGCTGGGGGCGGGGGGGCGTTGTATACCCGCAGGATTATTTTGTTACGTCTGATCAACATGATGGGCATTTTGAGATCATTTTGAAGCCACGTGCCCTTGACATTAGGAGATATTCTGAGGTCAAAAGAAATTACTTTTTTCTATTAAAAAATACCCGAGTACAAAACCTCATTAAAGAAAAAGTATTGGAATTTTCTGATGAACCGCCCCTGTTATATATGAATTTATCTATATACACGTTGCTTATTATCTTTATTCTGCGTTCCTCTTTTGTTTTATTTCATATAAGATTATAAATCCCTAATATAGTTATCATAACCAAAATCGGAAATAAATTTAACGAAACATGTCGTCAGATGGCCTCACTAAATCCTGGAGGAGTGATGGTTGGAGGGGAGGGGGGGGGAGTGAGAGAGGCTTGAGGCCACCATCGCTTTGGAGTGCGTCAGTAGTGTTCTAGGTATCGTGGGTGTAGGGTGTGTCAGTCTCTCCTCCTGAAAACGTGAGTGAAATACCTGCACATTATTTTATATATTTATTAATGTTAATTGTTTTTATAATTATGACACCAGTTAGCATAAGTACTGTACATTGAGTTAAAGTTTTATTTCATGCTCTTTGCTTGTGGAATGGGAGAAGCTGTCTGTCTGCCTGTCTGTCTGTACGGTAGTCTGTTTCTCTGTCTATCTATTTGCCTACTTGATTGTGTTTCTTTGTTTCTGTGTCTGTCTGTGTGCCTGTTCTGCTGTGTGTGTGTGTGTGTGTGTGTGTGCTAATATCAGTTAAAACTATCATCGAGGTCAATAAGTTATAGCAACACCCCCCCGTCTCTCTCTCTCTCGCTCTCTCTCTCTCTCTTTCAACCACACTTGGGAACTGGATTGATGACAAGCTATTCGTAAAATTGACACACACACACACACACACACACACACACACACACACTTTGAAGAAACATGTATTAGAAATAGAATGGTAAGGAAAATGAGCAGCGATAATGACAGCTGCTTAATTCTTGAACATCTGTCAGAGAAACTTGGTGTTACCTAACCTAACTTAACCTAACCTTACCTTACCTTACCTTACCTTACCTTACCTTACCTTACCTTACCTCACCTTACCTTACCTTACCTTACCTTACCTCACCTTACCTTACCTTACCTTACCTTACCTTACCTATGGATCACGTGAAGATTAACCCTATACCCAGTTTATTAGGGTAGGTTAGATTAAGTTAATTTAGGTTAGGTTAGATTAATTTAAGTTAGGTTAAGTTAAGCTAGGTTGGGTTATATTAAGTTAAGTTAGGTTGGATTAAGTTAAGTTAAGTCAGTGCAATATCAGTATAATTTTTCCCTCACCTACTTCTTACCATAACTCTGTGAGGTGTAAAGGATACGCCAGGCGCTTGTAATTGCAGGTGTGTGGGCAGGTGTATGGGCAGGTGTGTGTGTGTGTGTGTGTGTGGGAATGAGAGTGTGTGAGTGTGAAAGTGAGTGTGGTTGTGTGTGTGTGTGTGTGTGAACGCCCCCAGGCTCTTCACAGCAACACACACACACACACACACACACTTGAGAGGTAGAGAGCGTGGGCAGGTTGTTGGGTCACCCCTTCACACCTGTCTGACTCCCTCTACCATCTCTCTATTCAACTTTCATCTTGCCTCCTTCCCTTCCCTCCTTGCCCCTTCCCTCCCCTTCCCTCCTTGCCCCTTCCCTCCCTGCCCTACCCCACCTTGCCCCTCCCCTCTCATCGCTATTCCAACCTTACCCACGTTATCTCGTCCTACTTAACGCTACTGCACACGACCCCATCTCACCCCACCCCTTCCTCACCACCCCAGTCTGCTCCTCCTCAACCCCCACACTGCCCCTCCTCGCTCTAACCCTTTCCTCACGCCCCTCCTCGAACGAATCTGCCCCACCTCAACCCCTCCCCATCCACTATAATCACCCCCATAAAGAACGTGACATGGTTTATTTATTTACATTTTCTTTTTGAGGGGAAACTGATGTAAAGAAAATAACGTCTGTATCTTAAGGGTGTTGCTTTCTTCCTGTGCCATTTAAAGCCACTGTAAAGGTTCCAATGGTGCATAGTGGGGGAGGTTGTTGCTATGGAAGGCTGTCTGTCTGATTATCTGTCTGTCTCTGTGTCTGTCTGATGTTGATGAAGATTTTAGACAGTGTGTATATATGATTCTCCTCCTCTGTACTTTCTGTCTTCGTGTTTCCGTTTGCCCGTCCTTGCCCGTCACCGTCCATTCGTTCGTCCGTCACTCCGTCAGTCAGAGGCTTCTTATCAACGCGATACTTGGAACGAATATTTATAAACTGCGATGAAACTTAACTTGTGGAAGTAAACTAATAAAGTGGCGACAGGAGACAGAAGACGGGGGGACAGAGGCGGGCGACGGGGGGACAGAGGCGGGCGACGGGGGGACAGAGGACGGGCGACGAAAGGGTACAGAGTGGGGGTACAGAGAGGTGGGGGGACACTTGTAAATGACTCAAACTGTTACATTATGCCTGACCTTCACAAGCCGGTCAAGCAACAGCACAGACTGTATATAAAGTCCCTTGATGTTTCTGTTTATAAAGTCCCTTGATGTTTCTGTTTATAAAATCCCTTGATGCTTGTGTTTACAGTCACAATATGGCTGTATTCACAAACATCAAGGGACTTTATAAACACAAACATCAAGGGACTTTATAAACACAAACATCAAGGGACTTTATAAACATCAAGTACACCGTAGTCCAGCAGGTAGGGATTTGGCTCCTTGGTCCATCAGGGGCTGGTCCAGACACGGTCCAGCAAAACAACAAGGCCCAGACCGATTCAGGAGGCGAGGGAGGGAAACTGACCCACGCTCCTCGATTCACAAAGATTAGAACCTAGAATCTTTACTCGTAAATGGTGATGTGAGAATCTATCTGACTGATTCACTTCAGCTGTGCCACATTGTACACTCCTAAAGTAGTCAGTTAGGTTAGGTTAGGTTAGGCTAGGCTAGGTTAAGTTAGGTTAGGTTAAGTTAGGTTAGGTTAAGTTAGGTTAGGTTAGGTTGGGTTAGGTTAGACATAGCGAACTACTTGACATGCTGATTCAAACATTATTTTTCCCTGTCGTATCGTTGTGCAACACTGAAAGATGTCTGGCGTATGTATGTATGTATGTATGTATGTATGTATGTATGTATGTATGTATGTATGTGTGTGTGTGAACGCCATCAGACCACACAGTGACACAGGTGTAAGCATGCAGAAGTGTGTATGTTTGTAGGTCAGCGTGGAGAAGGTGTTTTTGTGAGGCTGTTGGTCAATTATGTTCTACAGGGCCATTATGTATACCATTCACCTGACGTCTCTCTCTCTCTCTCCCACACTCACTCTCACACACTCACTCTCACACACTCACTCTCACACACTCACTCTCACACACTCACTCTCACACACTCACTCTCACACACTCACTCTCATACACTCACTCTCATACACTCACTCTCCCACTCACTCTCCCACACACTCAACCACTCTTTGCTCACTCTCACACACTCACTCTCTCACACACTCACTCTCACACACTCACTCTCACACACTCACTCTCTCACACACTCACTCTCATACACTCACTCTCCACACACTCCCTCTCTCTCTCTCCCACTCTCACACATTCCTCCCACCTCCTCTCTCTCTCTCTCCTCTCCCCACACTCACTCTCCCACACTCGCTCTCACACTCACTCTCCCACACTCACTCTCACACACTCACTCTCCACTCCTCTCACACACTCTCCCACACTCACTCTCACACACTCACTCTCCCACACTCACTCTCACACACTCACTCTCACACACTCACTCTCACACACTCACTCTCACACACTCACTCTCATACACTCACTCTCCCACACTCACTCTCACTCTTAACCAACTCATATGACCCGTTGTGGTGGGCGTGCGGATATTGCCTCTTCTTGTTTATTACGGGATGAGATGTGATGCAAGAGAGAGAGAGAGAGAGAGAGAGAGAGAGAGAGAGAGAGAGAGAGAACAAATCTACATGTTGTTCTCTCCTTTACGTTATAGAACACCCCCCCTCTCTCCCTCCCGGGTATGTGGCGTCAAGGACCAGGGTTCGAATCTCCTACCTCGGTGGTGAAATTTGAGTCAAGTGCCTTAGCGCCACCTAGATCATGATAACCTATTCGAGTAACGGATGAGATAACGGGATAATTGATTAGCCAGTGAGGTGGTCCAGTTGTCCGGTCTTCCTGGGCGACTGTATTGATTCCTCTGTGTGTGTGTGTGTGTGTGTGATGAAAATATGATATATAATAACTAGGTGGGGAGAAGGTCATACTGCAGGGCATTTCAACAGAGTGACAGTGCAAAAAGGTAAGATTGGCTGGGAGTGAACACACTGGTTGATTACGAGTTGTTTATAATTTTTACAATGGTTGGGACTGGGCTGTTCTTATAGCGATCAGTACGCGCTCGTGTGGGCTAGATGCGGTTGTGGTGTCGAACAGCAATTAGCGGACGAGGGACCTCGGGTGGAAGCAGGAGCCGGTGTTGAAAATGGTGCAGAAGCTTCTCACCAAATTTGCAGATGAGATCATGGTGATGATCAGAGAGAGCCGAGAGGGTCAGTGTGTTGAGCTCTTCTTGATATGTGGAGTAGGAAGGGGAGAGAATAATCTTGCATGCCCTCTTTTGCACTTTTTCTAGGTGTTTACGTTGTGTGGCATTTAGGGAGGAAGACCAGGCAGGGAGGCATAAGTGAGCTTGGGAAGCATGGCTGTTGAGTAAACATGGAGGAGCTCTGGCGCAGGAACTCCGAGGGACTTGAGTCGGCGGAGGAGGTGGAGACGAAAACTGGAGGATTTGACAACTTCACTGACGTGTGTTTTCGAATTTAGTTTGTTAAACATAGTGACCCTAGGGAGCGCGTGTGTGTATGTGTGTGTGTGTCAACAATGAACCTCTAACCTTATATATGCACAAAAACAAACAGGTGTTTCGGGGGTAAGGTTTATGTCCTCACAACACACCTGAGGAGTTGTTTAAGTTCAGAGTTAACGAGAAGCTGTTTTTTGGGCCCCAACAGACACGCCATTAACATCTTAACACACACACACACACACACACACACACACACACACACACACACACACACACACACGGTTCCCAGGGCAATATTTCAGGGGGTCGACGATGGGTTGCGAAAATCTGGAAAAATGTAAAATAAATCAGGTTCCACTATGTCGACCTGGCAGAATAGAACTTTTCCTTCTTCCTTTTTTATCCTGACTTTGAAATCACTACCGGTTATAGTTATAGTTATGTTATAGTTAAGGGTATAATAAAGCAGGAAATAATTTAGGGAAGAAATGAAAAGTGCGGGTCAGGTTAGGTTAGGTTATCTTAGGTGCGGTTAAATTACGCAAGGTTAGGACAGGTTACTTTTAGGGTATGTTAGGGTTATGTTAGTCATGTTA